GACAGTCAAAGGAGCACATATTCCAGTCAAATTTGAACAGAATTTGTTCCTGGAGAATTCTGTCCTCTCTCAAAAACTCACCCTGATGACTGAGCCTTTGGTATACCTTCAGCACTGAAAAGAAGAAACAGCAACCTCACTCTAAAAGCATATAGAAATATGCTGTAGAACAATTTCGTCTTAAGTTAAAAGTAACCTGGGATTTGTCATGTCTTTTAGGGAGAAAAATAGTAATAGCCAATTTCAATGGGGATTACCTAATCCAAACAAACTCAAGTAAACTATTTGCTAGCTAGAACCATCCCATAATGGTATTACCTAAAAACTAGTTTCTTTTCATGGGAAAGCTAATATATATGGAGAAATAGGTCAAGTATATACCTAGTGCATGAACACAACTGATCTGCAACTGTATCTTTACTATATTGCCTCTTGCTTCGAGCCTAGGTCTACTTTCTGCCCCCTGTAGACCATTATTCCAGTTACCACTATTCCAAACTTTCACGTTTAACGCTGCATAAATTTATGGTCAGTTTATAAGTAGCAATGAAAGGAAGGGAACAGAAAGTCCCATTAAGCCCCCAGGCAGTTTAGCAGCCTAAGCTTTTTCCTTTAGATTAAACTCTTATTGGACTTCTACATCAGAAGTGAACACAACAAAACTAATTCCCTCTTGGAAAAAGGAATTACATTCCTACTTCAATTCAGTTTTTTTTTTTAATTCTTCACAAAAGAAATATGAAGGAATCATCTGCTTTCTCAATGCTCAAGTAAACTGAAAACATTTCAACTTACCTGTTATTCTTAAAAAGTTTAAGGAATTGGACAATTTGAATTAGCATTCAAATCTACTACACGACAAGAACTTGGTTTAGTGATTTGCCTTGTAAGCCCTTTTGAGTCTTACTCAAATTATGAAGTACACATAAGCAGACAATGTAAAAAGAAGCAGTGATTTGTCTTCCATTCATTTATTTTCCTTGGCCCAGGCCATACCAACTGGGAAGGAACTGGCTGTTTCATAGTCACCCACTAAGGGATTCTTCTCTATGCAAAGTCCTACCTCAAGGGGCCTGTTTTATCATCACTGAAGATGAAATGTAACAGGCAAACAGAATTAAAATGCCAACTGTCATTATTTTAAAAAGCCACTTCAGAATAAACATTAAAAAAAGAAAGCGATGAATGGAAAAATAAAATGCTCCAAACATTCATGGTTAAATAACTTCATTAGAGCCAATTAAAATGACACAAAATAGAATGTGTGGGCTTTCAGAACTATGTTTTCTCAAGAGCTAGTTCAAGTACCTTGCTTTATATGTGCCTTGGAAAAAATTGCATTTAGTTATTCTGGACTTAATCTACAACCATGGGAAAATATATTCTACCACTTGAAGAGGGGCTTAACATTTTGAAAGTTCTTCCAATCACTAGGTAACAAGATACAATTTGCCTTTAGCTGATTTTTCCCCAGTGTGCTACCCATTACCAATCTTTGATACTGTATGAAGGCTATCATACTTCTGCTCCATGCAAAAGACCTAGGGCAGCCAAAGGCAAAAGCAAATCTGGGTAACAGCTTTTATGTTTTCAGAATTCAGCCATTCCGTTTCTGTCCCAGAATTTTAGATATAGTCAGATACCTACACTACACTTCATTGCAAGGCTGCAATCTTTATCTCAGGACTGCATCTAAACTATCAACTATGTGCACTCTGGCCTATTTTTCCAAGTTTCTTATCCCGCCCCCCCTTTTTTTAAACAGCTAGTTTAAGGAAGAGTTTGAGAGACTTCAACAGTTTGTATTCTATTTTGTAATATGTTGGTTGGACTTACAGAATGGAGAAAGATTGACTCCTATGTGCTCGCCAGAACAGATTCTGAATGCATGCTTTCCAAGAAAACTAAAGACTTGTATTTTTTGGTGTTGGGTTGGGGGGGAGGGGGGGAGGGAAGTGGAGTAACAGTGTAAAAGCAGTTGGTCAGGAAACAGGCCTCTATTCCTCTGCAATTTTATCCCTTAACTTTAGAGCCATGGAGGGAGAATGAAGAGTTCCTTTATTATTTATAATAAATAATACCACTAAAGATCTATTAATTTCTATGGCTTTTATTAGTTCTCTCCAGATAGGTTATCAATGGTGGGTTAATAATTGATAATTAACCCAGGATTGTTAAAAAAGGAACGAATATAAAGTTGGTTTATTTGATGAAGGTTAAAATAGAAAAGTTATCTCTGATAACCCTTAATGGACTTTTGCTGACCAGGAAGAACTTTAATTTGTAAAACATTAGTTAATTTTCAATCAATGGTGTTAGAGCAAATAAGGAATCACAAGCTGGCTGTAAAAATGGGTTTTTTTTCATTCTCTTGAGTTAGAAAAATGATTTTGAAATGGAGAAGAGAGCTCTGAAGCTGGCAGAAAGAAAAATGCGGTGGTACGCAGTGTTGAGGCATTTCTTGACCTGCATGACTACTTAAAACATGCAAATGGAACATACAAACACAATATTAATTTCCGAAAATATCCCTGAGAAGTGTTGCAAACCTGATATCAATAAAGGAAATTGTTACCTGATCTGAGGAAGAGAGGGCTGAGAGTAAGCAGGCGGAAGTGCCGATTTAGAATAGTGGTGATTTCACATTATGTTAGCTGATTGAGTCATTAATAGGATTTTAGGATTGCTAATTGCTAAAATTGACCAAGTTTTATCTGTCAAAACATATTACAAATAGGACTGTGATATAGTAGAAATCAAGTTATTTGATCACATTACGTAAGTTATATAAAACTGAAATTGTAAAGATATGGTTGAGTGCAAAACTCAAAATCTGCTGAAAACCCACAAAATGTAGATGGGTTACTATGGCAGTCATCCTCCCAATATGGTGCCCTGTAGAAGTACTAGATTTTAACCTTCATAACTCTTTAAGCAGCATGGCTAAAGCAAGGCCACTTTAGAGCCTCAAGAAACATAAAATATATTGGACCCTTTCCCTGATTAAATTTTCCCTTCTGGAAAATCCTGATGGGATTTCTTTCCCAGTACAAACAGGAAAATATAGTGTGTTGAGATTAAAATATGCTCTTGATTGTATCTGAGTCCCTAGTTCTAACAGCTATTATTCTAACTGACCATGTTCCATCCATCCTTCCTTTAAACTTTTCAGTATGTATTTTGCTATTTGAGGAGTTCACCACATAAGTTCTTGATTTAAAAAAAAATTAACTTTATTTTAAGGAAATCCTCCCAAACTGTGGTATGGACTTTCAAGTAATCAGGATACAAAGATAACTTTTTCAAGTGGTCAGTAAATATACAGAAGGGACAGTGCAAGGTTTAAAAATAAGTTGTATGATTATCATAGGTGTATCATTATTTATGGAAATAATTATTCCACAAAATTATTTCCCAATGTTAAACTATTTTAAAAAGTTTAAATTCCTTTCTGGAATAATTTTGACTTTTTTTAAAAAACAAAGTTTAAAACATTTAGTAAAATTGCTGCTATCAAAAATGACTATTTTAGCTAAAAAAATTAGAACAAATTGGGAAAGATATTAAGCCTTATCTACAAGATTTGCCTCTTAATAATGTTATATAATGGCTCAAAACACTTTGCATTATCTACATATAAACTTCTAGTTGCTGATGTTGAGGCATGATTTTTTAAAAAACAAATGTATCTGTACTTAATACATATGTATCTTCTAAAATTATTAAATAACCAGGAAAAATGTCACTGTAAGGTATATGAGTTAACAACATTCTTAACAAATCCAGGACCACAGTTCAAAGCAAATGCAACTCTGGTCACAACTTGATTTAGATTTTCAGAGGTGGAGGCTGGGGAAGGATTGGTATGATCCTAAGAACACTTTATCGTTCATATAAACAAATGCCCAGCTACATAACAATTATCTTTATATTCTTATCCTCAAATTTAATTGTTCAACTGAACTTTAATATTTTAGCTTTTAAAGTTAAAAACAACATTTAGAGAGATCCTTAAACAATGAAATATTAATACTAGCATGAATGTTAACAGAGAACTAGTAAACATAACTGAGTTTAAATTTAAACTATTTTCAAATTGGAATGGCAAACTAGAGATTAATATAACTATGCCCACAGGTAACATAAGACACAAAAACATGATATTTTTTACTTTCTGCTTAAATATACTGGGCTGGGTAAGCAGAATTCAACAACAAAGATTTCTGTTTTAATAAAGCCTATTTTTATAGGACTTCTCTTTGGTATTTTAATATTGTGAATCCTGCTTTCCTGTCTCCAAATACTATTGAACATTATTATATTATGAAGTCCAGTTAGTTCAGCATTTATGACCAGGAACTTTATATAATGCACAGAGCATCAGAGGGTCAAACATTACTGGTTTCCTGCAGGAAAATAGACTTTAACACTAAATTATGCTTAGTTTCATATTAAACCATTTTCAAACCATAATTTTATGACAATTTAAGTGTTAATCAGAATATCCAGTTTGGATGGAAGGGGAAGCACAGGTTAACTAAAACCAAAAGTTTACAGTGTCCTTCCTCTTGCATATAATAGGAGAAGGAAGGATGGAAAAACACATACTTGTAAAGAGTCTAGGCTCACTCTTGTAGCATTAAATTGTAGTTCATCATGGAGGTCAATGATTTGGTAATTTTCAAAAATTATACTTCATAATAGAAAGTAGATGGATTTTAACTCTTGTTAATACATCTCCATTAAATCCAAATTGATAGTAATATATGTTTTCCTAATCTTGAAAGTTTTGTTATCAAAGCAGAAAACTATTTATTTATAAAAGAACTAAGTATAAAAAAAATATACTGGCCATGAACTCCCCTAGGAAGCAAAAGATGTAAATCCTCCGGGAAAGTATATTTTCCTTCAAATAAGTCAAATGACTGTAATGATAGAAAAATTAATGTATAAACAGATGCTGTTGATAAAGTGGCAATGCGTAATGATCTTTCAGTCCACTATAAAGGTGCAATTGCCTGCAGTTCTTCCGTGCGGATACAGCAGTGAAGTTCAGCTTTACATATTCCGGGCACTAAGGATTTGGTGGCAGCAAGCAAAGGTGGTTCATCTTCTCCTAGGAGGAAAAATGTTGGAAATCTCTTGTTAGTTAATTGGTTCATCTCCAGATCAATTATTTCTTTATTCACATTCTAACATATCTATGCCATTCTACTCTCAATAGCTGAGTTATACCATGTATAATATACTCAATACACACTACCATTTGTTACATATAAAACAAACCTTAAAACAACAATACAATAAAAATAGCTTCGTGCAAAGCTTATAGCAGGGTTCTACTTGTGCAACAAGATTTCTCTTCCAGCCACCATATTGTTTCAAATTCAGTACATGTTATTTCCCAACGCTGCAGCATAGATTTTGGGAACACCTGATGAGCTGTGGATGGGAGATAGGTATTGTTCTGTACTTACTAAGTTAGTCTAAAACCTGATCAGATCATATATAGTACTGGAACAAAACAAACTTAAGAGAAAATATTCTTGATGGCATGGATTTTGAGAAGCACAAGCTTCCCCTTACTGAAAAGCTTTGCCCACAGATCATGGAACCATGTTGGGCGAAGCTGTAAGGAAGCCCTGAAGCTGTTGATGCGAGACAGAACTATTAAAACAGGAAGAAGCACTTTTCAGATCCAGTCTGTAAGTCTGTCTCATAATCTAAAATATTATCTAGTCATCTCTACTTTTTAAAGGGAGTATTTTCAGCTCTCCTATACAACAACAGCTTGGAAATATTTGTAGATATAAGGGAAATCTCAGAAGTTATAAGATTTTGCATACTGTGTACCAGATTTTGTCCACTCTTACAATAATTATAATAATCTTATAATAATCTAACTTAAGCTAACCCAAAACAGTGTTTCATGAAAACATGGCTTCCGCTTCCCTGTGATCAAGTTAATGCTACATTGGTAGTGTTCACCATCATCAGAGTCAAATGTGATGATGGTTGTCAAAATCTACATGACTTTGATATTACTCAAGTGTTAACATACAGACTGTAAAACCCAACTTTATCATCTTGTAAAATCTAAAATCTTAAAGTGCAATTCTAGAGTGCAACTCTCTCTCTACTACATCTTACCCAGTCCTGATGAGGAAGAGACACTCTCTGTAATGGAAGAAGTTTCAGTTTGATCTGTTAAGAGTCCATCCATTAAAGGTAATGACAGTTCAGATGAAGGCACAGAAGAATCATAAATTCCAGAATCTCGGGGCATGTCTGGTAGATTAGCAGCTTTTACAACATGTAGCAATGGCTGAAGAATGGAGCTACTATTTTGAATGTCCTGAGATTCTTTATCCACACCAAGATTCAAATGCTGCATCACACAGAGAGAGTCTGAATTTAAAGGTGGAACAACATTTGCGTCTACCTTTAGATAGAAATCCCCATCAGTCAGTTGTTTATTGACTAAGTCATTTAATACCAAGCCAGTGTCAAAGGTTTCTGTCACTGGATCTTGACAACGTAAAGGTGTTGGGAAGAAAGAAACAAACTGCTTCTCAAACCAATCAGGCTCCTGGTCAATATACTGATGCATGTTGCAAATGGCTACATAGAGAGATCGTCCAGACTTACTCCTGAAATAATTTCTTTTGCTAATATGTACAGGATACAATTCTGAATCATGAAGACTAAGATCTCTGGACTGTAAATGAGCATAAAGCTGAGGCAGGTTATCCATAAGCTTGTATTTTGTGGTTAAATCTAGTATTCCAGGAATGTCACCTTCACAGGAATAATCAAAGTAAACAGCAATGAACTTGCATAGGTCACGTGAATTCTGCTTTGCATGACGTAGTTTCTCTGCTATGGTAGCTATGGCAACCAGAAAGAGTTCTCCTTTCCCAGTATCCTTTTCCCTGGATCTCTTGTGCTTCCAGCTCTTTTTCTCCACAAAATATTTCATTCCTTTTGAACATACAACAATGATATATTGGGATTCATTGATTTTCCGATGAAGCCATTCTTTCTGACCTTCTTTACAGTTTTTCAGATCTTCCCATAAATCTAAAGAAACCTAGAAAAAAAGGTTACAACCCTTGCATAATGGTCTGACTTTCAACACTCAACCTATGTTCATTAATGTGCATTTATGGGCTGGCATTTATTATAGGTTTGCTTAAGTCAGCACCTGCTTGGAGATTTTTTTTAAAAAGCAGTATGTATGTGTATGTGCATGTGTAATACACATATCCATATACATGCATGCACATTAAATATATATACAGAGAGAGAGAGAGAGAGAGAGAAGAGTTGGAGTTACAAATCAAGGTTACATCTACGTAATAGTTAATGGAGAATTATCATGTTGTAAGTCATGCTGTGGACTCTGCCTTGGGCCAGCCAGAGTAATGTAGCAGTCAAGAATTGGAGAGACCCTGGGTCAGGTCTTCACTCAATTGTCGAGTTCATTGGGAGCTTTGAGGCCAGTCATTCACATTCACTTTCTCTCTCTCTCTCTCTCTCTCTCATAACTCACCAGGCTGTTGTTCTGGGGTTAAAATAAGGGGACACTTTCACATACCCTGTGCTCCCAGAGAAAACTCAAGATATTAATAAAAATTACAACAACAGTAATCCATATGATGTATGCCAAATATTTATTGAAGCTATTATATATGGTATGGGATCTATAGTATGAAGGAAGTCATGTTAGAATAAGAAACCATTCTGTTAAAAATCATAGAATTGCAAGGTTATCTACATATGAATTGTAAGGTTACCTATATATAGATAGATTACCTATATATGAATACAGTGGTAAGTAAAGTGTACAGTGGTACCTCGGGTTACGAACTTAATTTGTTCCGTGACTCTGGTCGCAGCCCGAAT